CCAGGATCAAAACCCCCCTGCCGGTTTTTGGGAAACCCCCTTTATAAATGTTACTTTGCTCACACTCCAACAGCCAAAAATTCCAAAATTTAAAAAATTTTTCTTTCCCTTCCCTTCCCCATCAAACAGCTCACGCACGCCCGCTGGGGAAATCCAACCCCTCGCCAACAAAACCTCCCTTTTACCCCCTCCCCCCAACCTTTCCTAGGGGCCCACCCCCAACCCCCCCTTCCCTTCCCCTACAGAAATGATAACCCTTGAAGTCATTTTGGGTTTTGCTCCTTCCCCTTACATGTCCGAACACCCAACAACCCTTTCCCCCAGCCCTCTGGACAAAAAGTTTTGGTAACCGCACCCCTTTTTAACTTCCCAAAATACGAAATTTCTGCATTATATTCACACCACCCATTGCCCTCAGGGCTTTACATCTCCACTGCCTCCAACCTTCTCCTCGCCCGCAAAATTCATAAAAAATGCTTACACCCATATAAGAGCGTTTTGTTAAAAATAACTCTCATACATTCCCCTCTTTGCCCCCAGGCAAAGTTCCCTTTTCTCCCAAGCCTTTCCAAGGCACCACTCACTCTTTTTCCCTCATAATTTTATGGTTTACCCCATCTTTCCCTAGGAAACCCCCCCCGCACACTCCCCCCAAATATCTGAATACAATTTAAAAACCTCCATACTCTCTCCCTCCAATCGATATTCAATTTTCATCCCCCAAACTTTTTGTTATCCTCATAACTTACTTTTCCCGTATTCCCCCCTTTTTAAATTTTTTTCTTTTGCACACCCTAACCAAAAATTTATTTCCCCAATTCTGCAATTCTCTTCAGAAACTCCCCAAAAGCACAGTGTCATTTAGGGAAAAAGGGAGCTTGGGGCAAACCCCCTTTGTGTGTGATTCTTTTCTTTTAATCCACGCCCCTTGGGCCCAAAAACCCCCGCATTTACTTCTTTACAAAAACCCCCTCTATAAAAATATTAAAAACCCGGTGCAAACACACATCCTTGTCTAAGGCCTACTTTTACTGGGGAAAAAATTTCCCTCTTTCCCACTACTCTAACTTGAGCCTCCAATCCCCCGTTTAAAAAAAATCTTTACTGCTTTTAGTAACCTAAACCCCCCTACAAACCCAAAAACCCTTTCAAAATCTGCCCCCAAATTTTCCCCCCCTATCCACCCCGGTTTTTTACGCCTTTTCCAAAACCCAAAAAAAGCCACAAAGGGCCTCTTTTAGCCTTTTTCTAAATACTGTTCACTTATATGTTTCCCGTAAAACCCCCTTTGGGCCACACACCCCCTACCTTTCCCAAAACCTCCTTGTTTTATCTCTATTCCTATTCTCCCTCCTTACTCTTAATTTTTTCCCAAAAATAAAATCTACCAAAACTTTACCAGGTATACTCAGCAGACTTTTCCCCCTTTAAATTTTTTTACCCCCTTTTATCCCCTTTTCCCCTTTTTACAAAGAACTATGCATGCTCTCTGCCATCCTAGGGGGCCCCCTTCTTTCCCTACATTTATTTAAAAAATTGCACCAACCACCCAAAAAAAAAAATCCCCCTGTTTTTTCTTTTAATTTTTCTTTATCCCCCCAAACCCGGCTGCCTTACCCCCCTTTCCCCTTTTACCTACTGGCCCCCGAACTTCCCCCCACTCCCCAACTGGCTTTCCTCACTCCACAAGGGTTTTTTCCCCCCCTTTCCCTAAACACGAAATCACAGCTTCCCCACTTCTTTTAACATTTAAAAAATTCCTCAAAAAAATTCCCTCCATCTTCCCCAAAACCTATAAAATCCCCCATTTAAAACCTCCCCTCCTATTTTTAAATGCAAATTTTTGTTCTCTAGGCCTTTCTAACTTGTTAATTTTCACTCCAAAACTTTTTTTTATTTTCAAAAAAATTTTTTGATAACTCTCCCCCCACTCCCCTATTTGTCTCTTTTTACATTTCCCCCACCACTCCCCTTAACCCTCTCTTTTTCTCCATATAATCTTCCCCCTTGCATCACCCTTTACTTTGTAAAAAAAATTCTCAATGCAATTTTCTCCCCCCAAAAACCCCTTTACATCATCATTCCACCCAAAAACTCCTCTTTTCCCCCCCGACCCACTTTCCTGTAAACACAAAATTCTGTGAACACTTAAACCCCTCATTTTTTTTAAAACCCCCCCATACCTCTTCGGGCCCCATTGCCTATGCCCTCATTAGCCCTTACCTCCAATGCTGTTTAACCCACCCTAACTGCCCCTTCCCTTTTTTGTTTATAAAAACCCTTTCCCCTCTCTTTTAATGGTGCTTCTATTCTCCTTGTATCCCATTTTACCTTTTACTTCCCCGTGTAGCTAAAACTAGAAAGTGATTGAATTAAAACTGTGGCCCCTCTAAAAACCTGTCCCCTCCTGAAGTTACTCAAATTCTTTTTTTCTTTCCAATACTAAACCCCCAAAATATCTTGTAAATTATTTATCCCTTTTTCTTTTAAAATGTATTACCTATAACTAAAACCCCTTTCTATACATAAATTCAATCAAAGGGCTTCCCCTTTTTCATTTACACCTGGCACCCCCAAAATTTCCTACCACACCCTCTCTAAAAGTTTTCCCCCCTTTAGCATTCCGGTCCCCCACCCCAATTACTCTCTAAATTGGTTTTAAAAAGGGTCTATACATTCACTTAAAATCTCCCAAAATCTCTCTCTCTCCTTTTGCTTCCTTCTTCTCCCGGGCCAAAACGTTTTTAGGGCCCCCTTCTCGCATCCAAAACCCTTTTCTTTAAAACCACAAATTTTTGAAAATTACACATTCATATTTTCTTTTTTCCCCTTCCCCTAACTGTCATTTAACATTTCTGTCCCCTTCCTTTGTCAAAATCTCTCGATACTCCAGATTTAATCCCATTTATTCCCCCCCACGAAACTCTCCTACCCCCTTCAGCTTTTTTTCGTTAGGGCCAGGACAATTCCAACCCTTTTTTTCATTCATAACATCAGCAAACATCTGGGGTTTCTTGTAAACCCCCAATACAACCACGCACATTTAAAACATCCCGGGTTTTTTTAAAATTTTTTTTTTCCCCCCCCCTTCTTCCCCCCCCTTTTTTTTTGTAAGTGTCTACAGGAGAAGGGTTTTCTTTGCCCCTTGCCCCGGCATTTTAGTCGCCTCATAAAGACACGCAAAAGGCTTTCGGAGGAAAAAATTCTTTTCCCCTCCCCTTTGGGCAATAGGGGAAGGAAAAAAAAGAAAAACCCAAAAGCTATTTAGAAAAAAGGGGAAAAACCAAAATGTATGTTTTTATATATGCATGGGGCGTGTTGTGGAAATGGACCAAAAATTAAAATAGGATAGAAGATATCCCCGTTACAGCGTGTTTAGAGACAGAAAAAAGAAACCAGCCCAAACCTACCTTATGCAAAACAGTTTTCAGGTTTTTGTTTTTTACAGTCTCTGGGAGGACGGTTTCTTTCCCGGGTTGGGTTTCTGTTACCAACCTAAATTTCCTCAAAAAAATATATATATATAATATATAATTTTATATAAATATATATATATATATAATATATATATAAATATTTTATATATATATAACCTTTTAATAATATTTATATATATATATATTAATTATATTAATATATATATAATATATAATATAATAAATAATTAAAAACTCGGGGCCGTTAGCCCACAAAGAAAATCTTTTAAACCCCTTTACTCCCCATGTCCCTTTCCAAGGGGACACTTCATACAATTTTTTAAAACTTTCAACCCTTAACACCCCTCCCTTCCCGAGTGTAAAAACTGTAACCCTTCCCCTTTTCCAGGACTCAAGTCCTTCCTGCCCCTTTTTCCCCGAAGCCCTTTTATAAGGGGTTACCCTTGGGCCCCCCACACTCCAAAAAACCCTCCAAAATCCTAAAGCCCTTTGTCCCCATTCACTCCTATCTTAAAATGTCACCTTGCTGGGAAATCCAAGCCCCTCCACAAAGAAAAACCCCTTTACCCCCTTTCCCCAAAAACCCTTTCCCCAGGCTGACCTTACCCCCCCTTCCCCACTCAGATTTTTATACAAATCTCGAAAACCATTCTATTTTGTTTTCCCAAATTCTCTACATGCCCCAAACCCCCTCAACAACCCTTCCTAGCCTTTTTAAAAAGGGTTTTTGGGAATCCCTCACCCCTTTTTAAATTTTTCCCAAAATACGAAAAATCTGATTAAGGGACATCCCCAAAATTGCCCTAGGGCACGGCTTCCAATCCCCCCAAACCCCTTTTCCTTTTTGCAACATTCACCACCCAAAGCTTCACACCCATATAAAAACGTTTGGGATAACTAACCCCAATACTCCCCCTCTTTGCTTTCCAAAGGACAAAGTTCTTTTTTCCCAGACTCCTCAGTGCCCCCACTCACCTTTTTTCCCCCCCCTCATTTTTGTGATTCAAACCCCATCTTTTATAGCCCCTCTGCTGACCCGTTCCCCCCCTAAATTTTTTTAATACATTCACCTCCTCCTCCATACTCTCTCCCTCCAACCTTATATCCAATCATTCGTTACCTAATTTTTTAGTTATCCTCATAGCTTTACTCTTTCCCATATTCACTTTCAATTTTCTTCTTTTACATACCCTACCAAATTCATCCACCAACCTCTGCAACTTCTCTTCAGAATCTCCCAAAAGCACAGTGTCATCAGCGAAGAGCAACTGTGACAACTCCCACTTTGTGTTAGATTCTTTATCTTTTAACCCCAAACCTCTTGCCAACCCCCTTGCATTCACTTCTCTTACAACCCCATCTATAAATATATTGAACAACCACGGTGACATCACACATGTTTGTCTAAGGCCCACTTTTACTAGGATATAATCTCCCTCTCTTCTACATACTCTAACCTGAGCCTTACTATATATGTATATATATATACATATCCGTCAGCTTATAACAGCTTTTATGACTCGTGCAGTGGCCTTGTAACCTAACTAGCTGTACCCTCCACAGCGGCGTTCCAGCCCAATGCCAGTATGGAGACAGCTCACCACATGCTTCTGTATGGCTGCGAGACCCCAGGTGCTGAGGACGAGGTGTGGAACTGTGGGGAGATGGCCTTAGCCCAGCCCGGTATTAAGAGTGCTCCCGTGTGTGGCTCCGGATCACAGGTAACTATGAAGCTTTCTGGGCTCACGCCTCACCGAATTGAATGTGCTGGTGCAGGACTGTCTAGTGCAGTGGTTCCCAACCTTTTCTTACTCCCGCACCCCTATAAAATTTTTGCTCTAACCTCGCACCCCCTACTAAATTTTGTCAAACGAAGATATTTATTTCACTTTCTAATATAATATGTGAACAAAAATCAGACTTACAGAAAAGAAACATATCACAGAATGATATTTGAATACACCTTACAAAAATAATAACTTTTGCCTGAAATATATACAAAAAAGTCAGATCAAGAACTAACTTTCAAACCTTGGGAAAGGAATTTTATTTTGTTAATATGTAAAAAATCAAACATATGGACAAGAAAGGATGTCTCCGATTAAAATTTGAATATACCATACAAAAAATAGTTACTTTCTTTAAATATATACAAGATAATAAAATCAAAAAGGTTGCGAATCCATTTTAATTCAATGACTCTTTTGTTTGTTCTAAGTCGGACCAGCTCTCGCACCCCCTGGAATGATGTTGACCCCCGAGTAATTGTTCGCACCCCTGAAAAAATGATGATACTCGCACCCTAGGGGTGTGACCCCAAGAACCCCTGGTTGGGAACCCCTGGTCTAGTGTGTTGTTGCTCTGCATACAAGGGGATTTTGGCATGTTACACTTAACCACTGTATTTCTTTGTACATCTACGTATCATGTCCAGATTAATAATAAATGAAGAATTGAGACACTTACGCAAAACATGGGAATCTTTATTGAAGAAACGTTTCGCCACACAGTGGCTTCATCAGTCCAATACAAAGTAGAAATGGGTAAGGAGAGTAGAAGTATGAGGTAATCAGTCCCTCAACCTGGATTCGATGTGTTCAGTCCATCACTCTTGTAGGAAGTGCAGCATAGGGCCAGAGAGGTGGCTTATATACTGCGGTGAGATGAGTTGAAGCAGGAGGAGGCGGGATCACAGTGGGACCTGCCACTAGTGTAAGTAGGTCGTCGTCCAAAGGTTGGACAAGCGTTGAAGTCTTTGTACCAAGATCCCATGATGTTGCAGTGTCTGACAGATGTGATGAATGGTTTTGAAAACCGACAAGTTGAAGAATTGAGACACTTATGCAATACATGGGAATCTTTATTGGAGAAACGTTTCGCCACACTGGCCCTATGCTGCACTTACTACAAGAGTGATGGACTGAACACATCGATTCCAGGTTGAGGGACTGATTACCTCATACTTCTACTCTCCTTACCCATTTCTACTTTGTATTGGACTGATGAATCCACTGTGTGGCGAAACGTTTCTTCAATAAAGATTCCCATGTGTTGCATAAGTGTCTCAATTCTTCAACTTGTCGGTTTTCAAAACCATTCATCACATAATAATAAATAAATAAATAAATAAATATTGAGGTGTTGCGTCCTTGTGAAGTTATATATGACTTGTATTTGTGCACAGAGAAACACATGTTAATGATACTAATAATTAGTCCCTATTCATTCATCTCTCTCTCTCTCTCTCTCTCTCTCTCTCTCTCTCTCTCTCTCTCTCTCTCTCTCTCTCTCTCTCTCTCTCTCTCCCTCTATGATAATTTGTTATACTAGACTTTTATAGTGTACATAATTTACGGTAACTGCGTAGCTAGCAATATAATAACACGTTCAATGTTAAACCACAAACCTAACTTTAGAGTTTTGAAGCCTCTGGCCTAATAGAAGAACTCTTGCAACAGTGCTGGAGTTTAAATCAAATAAATGATAAGAATAATACTTATGCAGTAACAATAATAAGAGATCCTTCTGCTTGTCTTTCTTCTAATGTGAATTTCATTGTATACATGATTTTATTTGATGACGACCTTAGAACCCAAATGTTGACAGAATGAGATATTCGGATCATCATCCCTGGAAGGTTCTTAATCCAGGAAAACCTAACAGTGGTTTTTTTGCCTTCATTTGAGGTCCTATCGTCGGATGCGACTCACACAGGTTCACCAACTTGTAGGTATCTATTGACTTCTAGGTGAACAGGGACGGCGGGAGTTAGGGAAGACTCTCCCACATGGCTAACTCTCTTTGGATTGATCCCGACTCTTGTCCTTCGTGAACCGAACTATCCTCTAGTAAGCCATGTTGTAAAAGGGATTTTATGTGACAATACACATTTGCCAAATTTGATATCACTAACTTAAGTACGTTCAAAAGGCTTGCATAACCAGCTTGAGTTATTCCTCAGCTTTACATACAGTCAGAAAACAATCAGCGAGAATAAAAGGATACACAGTAGAACTGATTTAACATATATTCCCACCACCAGAACTTATGTACAAAAATGTGCAACTATTTATCGAGTTCAAGGACAAGTTAAGCCATTAAGAGTAGAAAATGAGAACACTACAACAGTAGTCACACACCAACAAAGAAAGACAATACTGGTATGATTTTAGACATCCAGAGGCAGTTGAGTTTGTGGGGATCTGGGTTGTTGCTGGAAGCGAGATACCCAGACCACCAACCTTCCCTCTAAAACGTCACTAACCTTCCCTCTAAAACGTCACATACCCTCCCTCTAAAACGTCACCAACCCTCCCTCTAAAACGTCACTAACCTTCCCTCTAAAACGTCACATACCCTCCCTCTAAAACGTCACCAAACCTCCCTCTAAAACGTCACCAACCCTCCCTCTAACATGTCACCAACCCTCCCTCTAAAACGTCACCAACTCTCCCTCTAAAACGTCACCAACCCTCCCTCTAGAACGTCACCAACCCTCCCTCTAAAACGTCACCAACCCTCCCTCTAAAACGTCACCAACTCTCCCTCTATAACATCACCAACCCTCCCTCTAAAACGTCACCAACCCTCCCTCTAAACGTCATTAACCCTTCCTCTAAAACGTCAGCAACCCTCCCTCTAAAACGTCAGCAACCCTCCCTCTAAAACGTCAGCAACCCTCCCTCTAAAACGTCAGCAACCCTCCCTCTTAAATGTCACCAACCCACCTCTAAAACGTCACTAACCCTCCCTCTAAAACATCACCAACCCTCCCTCTAAAACGTCAGCAACCCTCCCTCTAAAACGTCAGCAACCCTCCCTCTAAAACGTCAGCAACCCTCCCTCTTAAATGTCACCAACCCACCTCTAAAACGTCACTAACCCTCCCTCTAAAACATCACCAACCCTCCCTCTAAAACGTCAGCAACCCTCCCTCTAAAACGTCAGCAACCCTCCCTCTAAAACGTCAGCAACCCTCCCTCTTAAATGTCACCAACCCACCTCTAAAACGTCAGCAACCCTCCCTCTAAAACGTCAGCAACCCTCCCTCTAAAACGTCAGCAACCCTCCCTCTAAAACGTCAGCAACCCTCCCTCTAAAACGTCAGCAACCCTCCCTCTAAAACGTCAGCAACCCTCCCTCTAAAACGTCAGCAACCTCCCTCTGAAACGTCACCAACCCTCCCTCTAAAACGTCACCAACCCTCCCTCTAAAACGTCACCAACCCTCCCTCTAAAATGTCACCAACCCTCCCTCTAAAACATCACCAACCCTCCCTCTAAAACGTCAGCAACCCTCCCTCTAAAACGTCAGCAACCCTCCCTCTAAAACGTCACCAACCCTCCCTCTAAAATGTCACCAACCCTCCCTCTAAAACATCACCAACCCTCCCTCTAAAACGTCAGCAACCCTCCCTCTAAAACGTCAGCAACCCTCCCTCTAAAACGTCAGCAACCCTCCCTCTAAAACGTCAGCAACCCTCCCTCTAAAACGTCAGCAACCCTCCCTCTGAAACGTCACCAACCCTCCCTCTAAAACGTCACCAACCCTCCCTCTAAAACGTCACCAACCCTCCCTCTAAAACGTCACCAACCCTCCCTCTAAAACATCACCAACCCTCCCTCTAAAACGTCACCAACCCTCCCTCTAAAACATCACCAACCCTCCCTCTAAAACGTCACCAACCCTCCCTCTCAAACGTCACCAACCCTCCCTCTCAAACGTCACAAACCCACCCTCTAAAACGTCACCAACCCTCCCCCTAAAACGTCACCAAACCTCCCTCTTAAACGTTACCAGCCCTCCCTCTAAAACGTCACCAACCCTCCCTCTCAAACGTCACCAAACCTCCCTCTTAAATGTCACTAACCCTCCCTCTAAAACGTCAGCAACCCTCCCTCTAAAACGTCACTAACCCTCCCTCTAAAACATCACTAACCCTCCCTCTAAAACGTCACCAACCCTCCCTCTAAAACGTCAGCAACCCTCCCTCTAAAACGTCAGCAACCCTCCCTCTAAAACGTCAGCAACCCTCCCTCTGAAACGTCACCAACCCTCCCTCTAAAACGTCAGCAACCCTCCCTCTAAAACATCACCAACCCTCCCTCTAAAACGTCACCAACCCTCCCTCTCAAACGTCACCAACCCTCCTCTCAAACGTCACCAAACCTCCCTCTGAAACGTCAGCAACCCTCCCTCTAAAACGTCAGCAACCCTCCCTCTAAAACGTCAGCAACCCTCCCTCTAAAACGTCAGCAACCCTCCCTCTAAAACGTCAGCAACCCTCCTCTAAAACGTCAGCAACCCTCCCTCTAAAACGTCACCAACCCTCCCCCTAAAACGTCACCAAACCTCCCTCTGAAACGTCACCAACCCTCCCTCTAAAACGTCAGCAACCCTCCCTCTAAAACGTCAGCAACCCTCCCTCTAAAACGTCAGCAACCCTCCCTCTAAAACGTCAGCAACCCTCCCTCTAAAACGTCAGCAACCCTCCCTCTAAAACGTCAGCAACCCTCCCTCTAAAACGTCAGCAACCCTCCCTCTAAAACGTCACCAACCCTCCCTCTAAAACGTCAGCAACCCTCCCTCTGAAACGTCACCAACCCTCCCTCTAAAACGTCACCAACCCTCCCTCTAAAACGTCACCAACCCTCCCTCTAAAACGTCACCAACCCTCCCTCTAAAACGTCACCAACCCTCCCTCTAAAACGTCACCAACCCTCCCTCTCAAAACGTCACCAACCCTCCCTCTCAAACGTCACAAACCCACCCTCTAAAACGTCACCAACCCTCCCCCTAAAACGTCACCAAACCTCCCTCTTAAACGTTACCAACCCTCCCTCTAAAAAGTCACCAACCCTCCATCTAAAACGTCACCAACCCTCCCTCTAAAACATCACCAACCCTCACTCTAAAACGTCACCAACCCTCTAAAACATCACCAACCCTCACTCTAAACGTCACCAACCCTCTAAAACATCACCAACCCTCCCTCTAAAACGTCACCAACCCTCTAAAACATCACCAACCCTCACTCTAAAACGTCACCAACCCTCTAAAACATCACCAACCCTCACTCTAAAACGTCACCAACCCTCTAAAACATCACCAACCCTCACTCTAAAACGTCACCAACCCTCTAAAACATCACCAACCCTCACTCTAAAACGTCACCAACCCTCTAAAACATCACCAACCCTCCCTCTAAAACATCACCAACCCTCACTCTAAAACGTCACCAACCCTCTATAATATCACCAACCCTCCCTCTAAAACGTCACCAACCCTCTAAAACATCACCAACCCTCACTCTAAAACGTCACCAACCTCTATAATATCACCAACCCTCCCTCTAAAACGTCACCAACCCTCTAAAACATCACCAACCCTCACTCTAAAACATCACCAACCCTCACTCTAAAACGTCACCAACCCTCTATAATATCACCAACCCTCCCTCTAAAACATCACCATCCCTCCCTCTAAAACGTCACCAACCCTCTAAAACATCACCAACCCTCACTCTAAAACATCACCAACCCTCACTCTAAAACGTCACCAACCCTCTATAATATCACCAACCCTCCCTCTAAAACATCACCATCCCTCCCTCTAAAACGTCACCAACCCTCTATAATATCACCAACCCTCCCTCTAAAACGTCACCAACCCTCCCTCTCAAACGTCACCAACCCTCCCTCTAAAACATCACTATCTCTCCCTCTAAAACATCACCAACCCTCCCTCTAAAACGTCACCAACCCTCCCTCTAAAACGTCACCAACCCTCCCTCTCAAACGTCACCAACCCTCCCTCTCAAACGTCACCAACCCTCCCTCTCAAACGTCACCAACCCTCCCTCTAAAACGTCACCAACCCTCGCTCTGAAACCTCAAACAGTAATGCCTGACCAGGTGTAGTTGAGGCTGCCTCGTCCCTTTTACACATGTATCAGACGAATATAACATCTGACGCTAGGGTAGAAATTAAGAATGTTAATTTGCCTCATCCCCCTTATTGAGTTTTCCCCTATTCGAATATACGGTGTAAAGTACTTGATACAGGAGGGTAAAGTAACTCCTCCAGTTTGACAGTTGGTGAGGTCTGATAATAAATGTAAATGACTAGCGCTCTAACTTAAAATCCCAGCATCACCTTTACCTCAGCTCCTGTAGCTGCTGAGCCATCAGCCCTGCTGAAGTCTCCCAGCTCAGGCTGACAGATTTCAACACCCTACGTAAAACCTCATCCTTTGTGATGGATATGACAGAGAAACAGAGCTAGATGTAACTATCATGTGGAACAGGTTACCAGTACACTGTCAATGTACCCACTTTCTACCTGATGGTCAAAGACCATAGAGTCTTGGCTACGTAAAACCTCTATAATTGAACCGACTGCTTCCCAGGATGATTTGTTATTGTTAAACTTTTCCTGCCTTTGTTGAATTTGTTGTCCTTTGCTAATTTTTCTAGAATTATTTGAGAAAAGTGACCAGTTATTGGTCACTTTTCATTCTCCTGCGTGTGTGTTATTTCTGTATTTATCCAGTCACATTTTAGTTATTTTTTCAGTATTTATAAATAATTTACATATTTTTTCAAAAATCTTGGTAAACATCAATAAAAATAAAGCTTGTTAACGAATACTTCATATTTTTTTTAAATACGTGGAACATATAAAAAGTCAGAAAATTGTGCTAAAATGGTATTTTATTGCATGTTGTGCCTTTTATTCTTTAAGTGATCATGCAAAAATGTTTGTTCTTGTACAGGTGATTTATGCATGGGCCCGTGATGCACCTAAGTTGGTCCTGCCAGAAGGTGTGGCGTTCAAGGTGGGCGGCAAGTCACCCATCCAGTACATTGTCTTGCAGGTTCATTACGCCTCAGTTGAGAGGTTCAAAGGTACGGTATATAACTTACTACTTAAAAGTCAAATTTACTCTTCCAGAGTACGATATGTGATACAAGTTGCAGCATCTATAGTATTTTGATACCTTATGTATACTACTAGGTTTTTATTTCTACTGGTTAAGTGTGGTATTTGGCAAGTATTTGTTTGCATTTAGATTCTCTTTATTGAAATAAATCTGGACAATACAAATAAATAATAATATATGAGCAACCCTGGAACAGTTACAAGAGAGGAAAAAGACGTTTATGTACAGTTCGGGGCATTTATTAAAAGAAATATTGGGCCACTCGTGACTTCTTCGTTTTAGGACTAACGAAGCCATTCGTATCGAAACATTTCCTTTAATAAATGTCCTGAACTCTATATGCCTTTTTCCACATCTTATATTTATCACCAGACTATTTCTCAATTACAAGAAATGCTTACCAAAGATACTTTGTTGTTGTGTACATTTGCAGATGGATCGACGGATGACTCTGGAGTATTCCTCTACTATACAGAGACACCGTAAGTACAGCAGCTTTGTACCTCTTTGTTAACACCGGTAGTATGGCCACCCCTCACAGTGGCCAGATAAAAAAAACTGTGACCTCTGATAACCAGCGTATGAGAAAAAAACTCAAAAAAGGCAAGAAAATTAAATAAATGTAATAATTAATTGCAGTTCCTCTGAAAAAAAATCTGATCATTAGTGATTCGTGGATTATTCTAAGTCTTTCGTTTAATTTTTCATTAATGATTCAAAGATAATGATATATTACTGAATATGAAAGTATTCATAGTGACATGTTTTACTGCATTTAGTCCTCACATTTATAAAAAAAATCATATACCAGTTAAATCACGTTAATATAGAATTATTAAGATATTTCGTGAAATGTTCCTTCAGGGATATTTGAGAATGCTAAAACTTCCTTTAAATGATCATACTTAGAGAAAAAATGTGTTTATTTCATGCATTTTAGTCAGCCTAAAGCAGCAGGAGTGTTGCTTATGGGTACTGGTGGCCGCATCAACCCAAACAGTGTAGAATACATGGAGACGGCCTGTACCATCACCGAAGACAAGGTCATCCATCCATTCGCCTTCCGAACTCACACACACGCTCTTGGTAAGATCACCTCCTTAGGTTAGGTTAGGCAAAGTTTATCAGTGTTTGTCAAGTGTTTCCTGACACGAGTCTTAGTCATATGATGACCCACAGCTAGAGCTTTTGGTCATCTGACCAAGGCCTTCCTCTGGCTTACTCCTCCACCCCATTAAAAATTATGGTTATGATTATAACCATTATATTAATTTATCACCTCCTTGTGGCCCACACACACACATTTCACTTTTTATTCTTTATTTTATTCTTATAAAAATATTTATAGTATAATGGTAAAGGGTGTAATGATTTTTTGTCTAACTTCATATGTATCGGAATACTGAATGAATGTATGTGCTGTAATTTATCCACTTTTCATTTACTGAGGTGAATGAACGACTAGACTGCTGTTATTACGTAGTCTGCCTCTTTCAGGACGGGTTGTGTCTGGTTACAAGGTGTCACGGAAAGGCTATTTTGACCAGTGGGAACTAATTGGAAAAAAGGATCCTCAGCTGCCCCAGATGTTTTACCCAATTGAAAAGGATCTTATCCTTAAAAAGGGAGATACAGTGGTAAGTGATTAAATACATCTTAATTACCAGTACCTAAATTATGAGTTTGAATTATTAAATATATCTTAATTACTTAAACTATGTTTAGTTTTCTCTTCCTTCAGGAACGATATCGTATTTCTTTCTGTTCCATTAAAAAACAAACAAAAAACTACTTTTGTAGTTTGAACTTCGCCCACCAACCATTACCTTGCACACTCCTGCCCATCACTCCATTCTAACCTCTGCATATTCCTTCTTTAGCATAACCCTCCTTGTAGCACACTATGACCCTTTGAGGTTTAGAGCTTGCTTTGATTTTATATTTTTATCCACTATCGTTGAAAGTTTGATGTGGACCAGAAGAGGCATTCTCCAGTTATTCCTTACAATCCATCAGTTCCCGGTACATTAGCTTTGTAAATTGGCAAATACTCCATCCTCGCATGATAGTTACAGTGTGTCATCTTATCCATAAGATGCATCAGCTATTAAAGATTGAAACTGTTCAAAAGAGACATTCAAGTTGCAGTATTTAAGAAAAATGTCGCTCTTCTTTTTGTATGGGTAAATTGAAGCCTACACTCCAATAGCAGTCCGAACCGTCTAAGTGAGATACACCATTATTCAAAGCTTGAAGACTATCAGAAGAGGATTTCACAAGTTGTCCCAGGGATTCCAAAAATCAGGAATGGTCTATATAAAAAATGGTGAGAGATTATCCAAGTATACTAACAGTCTCAGGAACCTTTGCCTAGTTACAGTAAAACTGCGTTGAATATCTCAGGCTCACTGGATCAGGTGTTCTCAAGTTATAAACGAAAACTTTGGTGGAAGAAAACAGTCAACCACTTAAATGTATCCCTTGAGGATACCTAATTATGAGCTTTAACATGTAGAGAATAACATATGCACAATAAATAAACTTAAACCTTTCACAGTAACACTTACGTACCTTCTTGAAAAATAAATATTAGTATTACTTATTGTTTTTATGTTGGGAGAGGAAGTAAAATACTGGAAATATATAGAACTTACGGGGTATGTAGCTAATATATCAGGGAAGTTATAGGTACTGTGAGAAATTGTGAAATACTGTTAGTAGGCAATACTTAATCACTTCAATTCATTATATAATGTGAGAATATATATTGTTATAGTGATCCTAACGAGCCTCATTTCTTGTGAGGGAGAAAAAGGAAGAGAGAGAGAGAGAGAGAGAGAGAGAGAGAGAGAGAGAGAGAGAGAGAGGAGAGAGAGAGAGCTAATACCATATTAAGTGAGTAGCTTTATAGAAGGCTGAAATACAGTATGATGACCCAGAATCATTCTTTCTTTAAGATCAGAACTTCTGCAGAAGTGAAATGAAAATCACAATTTAGTCATGACTCGTGAAATCACACTAACATGACTGCAAACATGTTACAGACTTATCGGACTCACTGGCCTGTGAGTATAAGGACTCACTGGCCTGTGAATGTCAGGACTCACTGGCTTGTGAGTGTAAGGACTCACTGGTCTGTGAATGTCAGGACTCACTGGCTTGTGAGTGTCAGGATTCACTGACCTGTGAGTTTCAGGACTCACTGGCCTGTGAGTTTCAGAACTCACTGTCCTGTGAGTTCCAGGACTCATTGACCTGTGAGTTTCAGAACTCACTTGCCATGAGTTCAAACCTCGTTCCATGATCTGATAATGTAATCATAATGGTGATTCACATTTCCTTTTGTATACATCAGGCAGCACGGTGCACCATGGAGAGCAAGAGGGACCGTACTACCAGGGTTGGGTAAGTCTTGTAAGCAAGTTTTCGGTCAAGTTCAGTCAGTTCCTCTTTGATGTCCAGTTTAATATTTTGATATATTATTGTGAATATATATTTTTCATGATATATATGTTTTTGTTTTGAATAAATACCATGCATGAAAATTTGTCAAATTTAGGTTATGCCAATAATTTTGCATGCCATGATTATTTGCAGTTTCACATTTTCATGAAATGCATGATTTTTTCTGGCTTTTATTTTATTACTAAATCTTTGGTTCCCTGTAAATATTTCATCTTTGCTATTATATAATATATCTAAGCACTGCTTTGAAGCTTTGACACCACAAATGTAGACCGGCAGCTTCATGGGGATAAATGAGCATGTCTGTATATGTGTCAAAAACTAACCTTGATCTTATAAACGAGGGAAATAAATAAGGTAAGGACGAGATGAGTTCTCTAAGATATTATTTATCTCCGACGGTTCATTCAAAGAATTTGTCTATTGGGAAAGATAGACACAAATACAGTAAAATACGATCATTTATTAAACATGTTTAACCCACAATTTAAGTCACAAATAGAGCTATTTTTCCATCGTGTTTGAAAAATAGAAACAGAACTATTTATTTCCATTTATCTCCATTATTGGGAAGTAGCTGTAGCAGGATATTATCCAGTCACTAACTGTTATGTTCTCTCTAAGTCCACTTGAGACCATGAATACTGTATAATACAAATTATACTCAGCCCATCCAGGATGTACATTGCCTTCCAATCACCCCATCCTTCAAGGATGGGGTGACCATTGGTCCTTCAGCAGGGCCAATGGTCCTTCACCAGCAAATTTAGGTTCCATAAATTAACTCTAACCCATACATTTTTTATTTGTACTTGCAAAAGGAAGTACAATATAGGATTATAGAAATGATACAAACTAGTTAACCTTAATAAAAAAATCAGTAAATATAAATTAGGTAATAAAGCGAGTATACCACCATTCATATATAATAAAGATGGCCAGGAGCAGCCTCCAGTCATAACAACCCTGTTTAACAAATTTCTTGAAACCAAAACTTTCTCTAATATTCTTAAGCTTGTGTCACCCCAGTCTACAAAGATGGAGACCCAGGCGAAAGTGACAACTAAAGACCAATCTCTAAATTGCCGTTATTGTCTACAATCTTTGCAAAGATGATATGTAAAAGAATGTGTGTATTCATTACCACAAAAAAAAAAAAACATTCTTAACTGTTGGAACTTTGGCTTCAGGTCAGAAAACTGTACTAATGACGCTGTCACAAAGATGCTAGACTGTTCATCTCTAGAAAATAATGTATATCAAATGGGTTTCTTTTTTGATCTAAGAAAAACTTTTGACGCTGTAGACCACAACATCTGTTGCTGAAGCCAGAGCATTATGGAATTAGAGATGCTCCTACTTACATAAAGCCCTGCCTTAATGGCAGAAGTCAGCATGTGACAATCAATGACACTACATCAACCCAAACTGTTAACATAGGGGTACCACAGGGAAGCGTCTTGGGGCCCATTTTGATTTTTATCCACATCAATGATCAACCAAATGTCTCCTGGGAATTTAAACCAGCTCTCATGTTAGCAGATCCTGTTTTCTGTTAACAAGACAGTCGACGAGTAGTTTCTAAAGATTGCTTCCTAAATGACAGCCAACAAATTTTCTCTTAATATTGACAAGTCCTTCTACATATTTGGGATAAACATAGAAATACTCAACTGCAACCTGAAATTTAGTACAGTTGGGCCCCGCCTTACGGCGGTAGCCTGGAACCTAACCTACCGTATAAGTGGGGCCCTACTGTACTCACATACAACGCACATTTAAGAAAATTCCCAGAACTGTGGGCATTCTTTCTAAAATGTGCTATGTTCCACAAACAACATTACTCACTCGGCATTACTCCTTAATCTATCTCTGCCTCACTTATGGTATCTGTGCTTGGGGAACCTGCTACAGCAAATCGCCTAAAGCCCATTGTTAGCAACCTTACCAGCCGTTTCTGACGGGAATAGAATGCAAAAAGGTGAATGAAGAGGGTGAATGCTTTACAATAATGTCATAAAGGGAGAACGACTGGGTTATCTAGACTGGGTTATCTGGGTTATCTAGACTGGGTTATCTAGACTGGGTTATCTGGGTTATCTAGACTGGGTTATCTGGGTTATCTGGGTAATCTAGATTGGATTAACTATTATTAGTACCACATAAAATAATAAATAGTAACCAATTAATAATGATCAGACGATACTGCCACAGTGTTATTGTAAGAATTAATATATATCAGCACTAGTAAAAATACTATAATTAATGGATTTTGGGGAAGTGGAAATAAATACCCTCAGTTGTTCATCTAGTCTCAGTAATTTGTAATTTATAGTTGTTAAAGGCACACTACCTTATCCCAAAATCAACATAGCCATAAATAAACTACCTAACCACAATAAATGTAACTCACACTTGCAGTCTGTACCAATCTTTGCAGTTTATTACCCAAGGGGAGAGTAACTCCCCTCTGCCCCTTCTGCCTGTCACCACTACCGTCATAGTTGTCATACCCGTCTGTTAGATTATAGCTTCAGGAATGCTCCCAACTCTTTCCCAGATTTATTAGAGGCCTTTTGTCATTCCCTAAGATACATAAAATACTTTATCTCTTTAATATCAGGCCAAATAATGGAGCTAAATGAAAAATAGTGCCAAACGAGAGAGTTGAGCCACGTTCTTCACTAACAATGGTTAAAGTTTGTATGAAGCCTGACGGTCTTCACTACACTCATAAACTTTCAAACTTTATAATTTACAAGAAAAAATTATAACACTAAACAGCTTATTATTATTATTATTATTAAAGATTAGTCGGTATTCTCCCGGCCCGGGCCTTTTCCAAGTGGTGGCCCGGCCTTGGCTCCCTCTTTAGGGAGTGTCTGAGACCTAAGTCTCCCATGGGAGGAGGCACAAGTACCTCCTCATCTTTGGGACCAACTGTCCCCAGGCCTAGCCACAAGCTAGGCCTCTCTGGTCTGCCATCCCTGCCTCAAGGGAGCTAATGGGAATGACAGTCTTATGAGCTAAAGGCTCGGGCTCAGGCACCTACCCTACCCTAGAAGGGCTGGGCATGGTGTCGATCACTAAACAGCTACTTACTAGCTCCATAACCATTGACAAAATACCTGGAAATTTTTAGCGTCTTTAACATATGTAAATATAATCTAAAACTAAAAGGAAAAAATCGAAAGATTTATACCCAACATCAAAATTTTTTAAATATATCAGAGCACAACTCTCAAAAACAGGGAAAAAAAACAAAATATTGTCCCCCTTCCCTAAAAAAATTTAAATACCTCTCATTAAAACCCATTGAATCTCATAATTATGTTTATAATCATCAACATCCTCTTTCAACCTTCTCTGAACTTCGTAGAACAGCCTAGTCTAAAATAATGCAATATTGCATCCCTTACCTATAAGTATTGGTAAGGGATGTATAACAAAACTAAGCAGTCTTGTTATTAGATTTTCTTAATAAACATATATAACTAATTAAATACTATATATAATATATATATTATATATATATATATATATATATATATATATATATATATATATATATATATATATATATATATATATATATATATATATTAAATATAATACAAAAATGCTGTATTCCTGAGCTACATTACATTAAAATAATCGACCAATCAGGTTCCAGACTAAGACACACACACACACACACACACACACACACGAATGTCCTATGAAGAAAGATTAAGGGAAATCGGCCTGACGACACTGGAGGACAGGAGGGTCAGGGGAGACATGATAACGACATATAAATACTGCGTGGAATAGACAAGGTGGACAAGGACAGGATGTTCCAGGGAGGGGACACAGAAACAAGAGGCCACAATTGGAAGTTGAAGACACAAATGAGTCAGAGAGATAGTAGGAAGTATTTCTTCAGTCATAGAGTTGTAAGGCAGTGGAATAGCCTAGAAAATGACGTAGTGGAGGCAGGAACCATACACAGTTTTAAGACGAGGTTTGATAAAGCTCATGGAGCGGGGAGAGAGAGGGTCTAGTAGCAACCGGTGAAGAGGCGGGGCCAGGAGCTAGGACTCGACCCCTGCAACCACAAATAGGTGAGTACAAATAGGTGAGTACACACAGTAGGGACAGCGAGCGCGCTAGTCACGCCGTCAGTGCTCCGGGGATTTAAGTGTTTTTGAGGGCTACTAAGTGTTCTGCAAGGGTTGCTAAGTGTGTCAGGGTAGTCAACAATCCTAGAAGTGTTTTTTTTAATTGCCTGAGCCACACAAGTGTGGGGAGAGCCACAATTTTGAAAGTGATCTGGAAAATAAAAGCGTTGTGGCGCAGGCTAGTGTGAAGGCGGCGTTGCCAAGTGTCACCCAAGAAAGGTAATAAAGTGAAACAATCGTGTGACCAGTGAAAGAAATACAGTGAATAGGGTACATTATTAACGAGAAGAAATTGAGGTGGATTACGCCAGGACGTACATCGAGCTGGATCTACGCCAGGACGTACATCGACCTGGACAATCTACACTGCTACAGCTGCACTACAAGTACTGTATCACCTATGAGTGGTTGTTTGGGTGTGAGGTCCAGGTTCCAATTAACCGCCAAGCTGAATGTGAATGGTCTAACTCTCATAGCACGATAAAGAATAGGCACTCAAGTATTCAATAAGGTTTAGCAAATGGTAATCCATTGAACAAGGCGATTAACTCACTATAAGCAGGTCGATATAGGCAACACTGCAAGGGTGGGAGTCAGGTCACAAGAGGTTGTGGACACAAGCGACAACTGAGAATCTACATTACACTCCAGCACAAGCCACCTACTTTTCAGACACATAATAACCCACACATAATTCGACACATAATTACACACAAACACACACACCACACACACAACACACACACAACACACACACACACACACACACACACACACACA